ACTCTTATGCAAATGAATATGATCTTATGCAAATTACATGTACTCTTATGCAAATGATACATGTACTCTTATGTAAATGTACATGTACTCTTATGCAAATGTACATGTACTCTTATGCAAATGAATATGATCTTATGCAAATTACATGTACTCTTATGCAAATGATACATGTACTCTTATGCAAATGTACATGTACTCTTATGCAAATGTACATGTACTCTTATGCAAATGAATATGATCTTATGCAAATTACATGTACTCTTATGCAAATGATACATGTACTCTTATGCAAATGATACATGTACTCTTATGCAAATGAATATGATCTTATGTAAATGATGAATGTAATTTATGCAAATATACATGTACTCTTATGCAAATATACATGTACTCTTATGCAAATGATAGATATGAACTACAGAAATGATGTACATGAACTTGCGCAAATGGTAAACATAAACTTCTGCAAATGCACATGAACTTATGTCAATGATGCACATAATCTTATGCAAATGTGAACATGAACTTAATATGCAAATGATGTAAATGAATTTATGGAGCATGTAATTGTATATACCAGTACATGTATGCAATAATTATTCACTTAGTTTTAATTTTGCTATTTTCATCGATTATTGGAATTTTGTATTCATGAAAAATCTTGAAAAACCCAAAAAATTCATAGCAGCGAAAAATAACACAAACATCTTCCCCCTTTGCTGTCATTACCACAATATCATATCCAAAAATTAACTGATCCAAGGGTAAAACATCGATAGCTTAAAGAAGACTTTTCAGTTTGGGTGAAATAGATGTGCATATAAACATCTCATAGCTGACATGTGACCTAACGATTGAGACGCTATAAATCATTCAGTAATGAGATTGTGTTAGTTTTTCCTCCAAACAGTTGATTTATGCAGGTCGTGAACTATGTGACCCCTGACCTGTATATAAACATGACCTTTAACCTGTACATTACTGGTACATGCAAATGTAGGGGTTCATTTAACTTCATGTAAACATATTGTGTTTCTTGTATTTGATGTCGTTAATATGATCTATATGCTTCTATTTTCAGTCTCAAGTCATTATTGCCGACACACAGAATTATCAATCGGTGGTTGGGTTCAACCAGAACAGCTGATCAATGGCCACCAGAAAGGGAAAGCTCGGTAAGTGAAATGTACTGCATGCGTGTCATTTACCGTCAATCAATAACTGCGCCGCGATGAATGTAACATTGAAATAAGGAAACAATAGCAAACCCTTTCACTTCTGTGAAGCTATAACCGTTTTTATTTCCCTGGACAAACGTGTTCATACATGTATATAGTACAGACATTGTAATTATAGTCTAGGATATACACAGCATTGCAATCTCATTCCGATTTATGCGAATCACAATACTCTATAAGATAATGTCATATTAAGCGACCTGCAGTTAAAATGTTGTACCTCAAAAATCCCCCATAATTTTATAAGCATTCTCCAGATGTTCAGCTCACGTTTATTGCTGTCATTAACAGTCAAATAATCAATTAATAAATGCTACAATAATACTAACATATAGTTTGTGGAAAATGCTTAAATTCAAGGCAAACCCACATGCATGTGACTTGTACATTACTAAAACTGCATGGGGAAATACATATGCAGTTGCCAGGTATTAGTGGCCATTCACTTTTCCATTATTTGAGATGCAATGTGATTCACTCTATAACGCAGTGAAAGTCTTTAGATATTAATGTTAAATATTACAATTAAAAGACTGAGCACTTAATGTTTTTTCACTGTATAAAAAGAAAATATATTCTCAAATTACCTTAATCAGTTTCATGTCTAGAAACCTGATTACATTTACAATGTATGAGATTCGTTTTTCACTAGTTTTGTATTTGATAATAAGAAATATGCTCACAGGCAGTTACAGAAACAGTACTGGCACCAGTATCTCGTCTTACTTTTTTATCGTTTTATTACATTTTTAACGATGCATTTCATAGAAAGTTAATTATCGTATATGAGTTTTATAGTATTTTCCAATATCGATATATTTTTGAATGAGTTCGCCAAAGGGTCATGTCTGCCACTGCATGCTGTTTCGACAAGATTTACTGAAATATGTTTTTTAAACTTGTTGATCTCTGCAATGTAAAATTATCTTCTGTCCCTTGAGGGATTATAATATTTTTCTTAAATCTCTTTTTTTGGAAATCTATATTTGTGCCCATCTGTGTTATGGCAAATATGTTTTCTGTGTAACCAGCTCTTTTATATTTGTGAGTATTTTCTGTGCACAATTATGGAGTGCTCAGGTAAATTCACCTTTCTTCATATGACCCAATCAACATCTTAGTTTGAATATGAAATAATTCATTTTGTGATGTTGTCTTGAGCATTCATAATGATGCCAAAATACTGTAGAATACTTTATTTTCGCTGAAAGGATGATTCCGTGAAATAAATCCAGCGATATACTTTTTTCTATATTTCACATTAAACTCAT